TACTGAATCAGAAAATCTGGAGATGGGATCAAGCAATCTATGTTTTTAGCAAGCTCTCCCCAAAGGTTTATACTGCACACCAAAATTTGAGTACCATAGCCCTAAAGAAAAAAATGTTAAGCATTAAATTAATAATGAATTAGATAAAAGATTAATTGAAAACTTACAATGGGGAGGTGGTGGGATAGGGGAGCAGGGTATTACCACTTGAGCTCTCAATCATTTCGTAATTAAAAGTAGGAAAAGATATTGTGTGCCTCCTGACATATGATACAACACACACAGAACCATTTAGTATTTGTCTCCCCAACCCAAAATGAACTCAGATGTAATCAATGACATCCCAAGAAGAAAACAGAAAAATTGAGAATGCATGACATACCACAGAACAACTGGCTTCTGATACAAAGCAATAAGGGAAAAGGCAGGGGAACTACAAAGAGATACAATAAATGTAATCTATATTCAAAACAAACCAGCTGCAAGAATATATTCTTGACTCAATTAGGGTGATTTGACTATGTGTGGTTACCACTGAATTTCTTTCTTTCTATCTATCTATCTATCTATCTATCTATCTATCTATCTATCTATCTATCTACCTACCTACCTACCTACCTACCTATCTATCTGTTTATTTTTCATTTATTTTTATTTTTTGAGATGGAGTCTTGCTCTGTCGCCCAGGCTGGAATGCAGTGGTGCCATCTGGGCTCACTGCAAGCTCCGCCTCCCGGGTTCACGCCATTCTCCTGCCTCAGCCTCCCAAGTGGTTGGGACTATAGGCACCCGCCACCAGGCCCAGCTAATTTTTTGTATTTTTAGTAGAGATGGGGTTTCACTGTGTTAGCCAGGATGGTCTTTTTTTTTTTTTTTTTTTTTTTTTTGAGACGGAGTTTTGCTGTTATTGCCCAGGTTGGAGTGCACTGGCTTGATCTCGGCTCACCGCAACGTCCGCCTCCCGGGTTCAAGTGATTCTCCTGCCTCAGCCTCCTGAATAGCTGGGATTACAGGCATGCGCCAACACGCCCAGCTAATTTTTGTATTTTTAGTAGAAACAGGGTTTCTGCATGTTAGTCAGGCTGGTCTCGAACTCCCGACCTCAGGTGATCCACCCGCCTCGGCCTCCCAAAGTGCTGGGATTACAGGCGTGAGCCACCACGCCCGGCCAAATTACTATTTATTTTATAAAATGGGATAACAGCACTATGGGTACCAAAGAAAAATTCCTGTTTTAAAAAAGATACACATTGAGGATGTAGGAATTAAATGACATGATGTCTGAGATTTGTTTTAAATACTTCAACAAAGGGAAAAAAAAGTACAAAGGAAGTCAGTTAAACAAGTCAGTTAATGGTGCCATCTTGGCTCATGGCAACCTCTGCCTCCCGGGTTCAAGCAATTCTCCTGCCTCAGCCTCCCGAGAAGCTAGGATTACAGATGCGTACCACCACGCTAGGCTAATTTTTGTATTTTTAGTAGAGACGGGGTTTCACCATGTTGGCCAGGATGGTCTCGAACTCCTAACTTCATGATCCACCCACCTCAGCCTCCTAAAGTGCTGGGATTACAGGCATAAGCCACTGTGCCCACCCTCTGAGTATATCATTTCTATTAAAAAGACAGCACCTCCATAAAGTTAGAATGTGACTCTCCCATCAGAGAGCCAAACTGTCATGCTTGCTCTTACTACAGTAATCTTTTATATTTTAACGACAACAAAAAGTTCCCATTGCATTGTTTTAAGTAATCACTGAAAACAGCTACACCTTCTAGTGATACATGAACACCTTAACATTACATTAAAACGGTAGCAAAAAAAAAAAAAAAAAAAAAATCCACTTTCTTCTCAGAATTTTTACAGGCCCTGAAAATAAGATTAAACTCTATAATCTGATTACATTATTTCAGGCAGAGTTCTTTCAACAGATTCATATGTTCTAAGGCAAAAAAGAAAAAAAATAGCATACTGAGAAAACGAAAATTAAGATTTTTAGTTAACATCCATGAAATCATGCCGAGACAGGCGGATCATGAGGTCAGGAGATCGAGACCATCCTGGCTAACCCAGTGAAACCCCGTCTCTACTAAAAAATACAAAAAAATTAGCCAGGCGTGGTGGCGGGCGCCTGTAGTCCCAGCTACGTGGGAGGCTGAGGCAGGAGAATGGCGTGAACCCGGGAGGCGGAGCTTGCAGTGAGCTGAGATCCGGCTACTGCACTCCAGCCTGGGCGAGGCAGCAAGACTCCGTCTCAAAAAAAAAAAAAAAAAAAAGAAAAAAAAAAAAATTCCATGAAATCACAATTACATCAAACATTGAGAAAATCGGCTGGGTGCAGGCACTTTGGGAAGTGGAGCCAAGCTGATAGCTTGAGCCCATGAGTTTGAGACCAGCCTGGGCGACATGGCAAAACCCATCTCTACAAAAAATAGAAAAATTAGCTAGGTGTGGTGGTGTGCACCTGTACTCCCTGCTATCCAGGGGACTGAGAGGGAAGGATCGCTTGAGCCCAGGAGGTCAAGGCTGCACTGAGCCATGATAGCACCACTGCACTCCAGCCTCAGCAACAAAGCGAGATCCTGTATGCAAAAAAATAAAATAAATAATTAAAACACAAACACACATGGCCGGGCGCGGTGGCTCAAGCCTGTAATCCCAGCACTTTGGGAGGCCGAGACGGGCGGATCACTAGGTCAGGAGATCGAGACCATCCTGGCGAACACGGCGAAACCCCGTCTCTACTAAAAAATACAAAAAACTAGCCGGGCGAGGCGGCGGGCACCTGTAGTCCCAGCTACTCGGGAGGCTGAGGCAGGAGAATGGCGTAAACCCGGGGGGCGGAGCTTGCAGTGAGCTGAGATCCGGCCACTGCACTCCAGCCCGGGCGACAGAGCCAGACTCCGTCTCAAAAAAAAAACAAAAAAACAAAAAAAAACACAAACACACACACACACACACACACACACACACACACACAAAACACCCAAAAAACACATTGAGGAAATCTTAATTCAGGAAAAATGAAAACTTTATGTCAGAAAGGCAATTACTGGGCACTGAGAAATATGTTTTCTGTATAAATTATTCTACTTTCTGTAGTTTCTCAACTGATAGAAATTAACCATTCTAAATTAACTGATTGGCAAAAACGAAACCCTTTAGCATTTTCCAACATTAAAAGAACTCTTTTCTCTTTTTTTTTTTTTTTGGATGGAGTCTCGCTCTGTCACCCAGGCACGCACCACTACACCCAGCTAATTTTTGTATTTTTAGTACAGACAGGTTTTCACCATGTTGGCCAGGATGGTTTCGTACTCCTGACCTCAACTGATCTGCCCACCTCGGCATCCCAGAGTGTTGGGCTTATAGGTGTGAGCCACCACGCCTGGCCAAAAGATTTCCTTTTAAGAAAAATGGGGGATTTTTTCTATGAAGGCTCTTTAACCACACAAGCACAAAATACTAGTTTATGCAACTAGATTATACAACAACTCCCTCATTTTAATGTAGAAACATCCATCTTTTTTTTTCTTTTTGAGGCAGGGTTTTGCTCTTTCACCCAGGCTGGAGCCCAGTGGTTCAGTCACAGTTCCCTGCAGCCTGGACATTCTGGGTTCAATTGATCCTCCCACCTCAGTCTCCCAAGTAGCTAGGACTCGAGGAACACACCATTACGGCTGGCTAAGATCTCTATTTTTTTTTTTGTAGGGACGGGTTTTTGCCATGTTGCCCAGGCTGGTCTTAAAACTCCCGGGTCATGCGATCTGCCCACCTCAGCCTCTCAAAGTGCTGGAATTACACGCGGAGCCACCAAGCCTGGCCAAAACAACCTTCTAATAGGATTTCAACATTGGTTGAAGTTAGTTGCCCCTCTGCTTCAAAAGAAATTCTAGCTTTGGGGAAATAACCGTAGGTATATATAAAGCAAGGTTAGCAATCTAGTAAATTAATGTAGCGAACCCTCTTCTTCAAATTTAAGTTCAGATTTAAATCAGATTTCAGATTAAAAAGCTTTGGAATTACTTTTTTTTTTTTTTTTTTTTTTTTTTTTGAGCTAGGGTCTCACTAAATTGCCCACATTGCTCTCAAACTCATGGGCTCAAGTCTTCCTCCAGCTGGGATATCAGGCATGGAGCTACTGTGTCCAGCCAATTAGTCTGTTTTTTTGTTTGTTTGTTTGTTTTGAGATGGAGTCTCACTCTGTTGCCCAGGCTGAAGTGCAGTGGCACGATCTTGGCTCACTGCAACCCCTGCCTCCCAGGTTCAAGAAATTCTTCTACCTCATCCCCGCCTAGCAGCTGGGATTACGGGCAGCGGGCGCCACCGTGTCCAGCTAATTTTTGTATTTTAGTAGAGATGGGGTTTCACCATGCTGGCCAGGCTGGTCTCAAACTCCTGACCTCAGGTGATCCACCCGCCTTGCCTCGGCGCTGGGATTACAGGCATGAGCCACCGCGCCCGGCCAGTATTTATTTTTGAGACGCGGTCTCACTCTGTCGCCCAGGCTGGACGGCAGTGGCGCAGTCACAGCTCACTGCAGCCTCTACTTCCTGGGCTCAAGTGATCTTCTTGCCTTAGTCCCCCAAATAGCGGGGGCTACAGGCATATGCCATCATGCCCAGCTAATTTTTTTGAATTTTAGTAGAGACAAGGTCTCTGTTGTCCAGGCTGATCTTGAACTCCTGAGCTTAAGCAACCCTCCTACCTTGGCCTCCCAAAATGCTAAAATTACAGGTGTGAGACATCATACCTGGCCTCCAATTACTCTTTTTGAAGAGGATACTATACAATCACAATTGATGGGCATCTCTCCTCTCCTGTTTTTGTTTGTAAAATCCATGTGAATATCTATGTAATGTTGTTCATCAAAAGCCAAAGCATAGCCTCATCAAAAAGTCAGAGCTAAACTACAACTATTTATTCATTATAAACTTAGTTACTCAATTCATGCAGCATGCAAACTACAAGCAAACACAGGCAGGATTATTCTCACCTTTACCTGCTCTATATGTCTTGGCTTGATTCACTGGCATGGGCGTCATAGGTATTGGGTACAAAGGCTTGAGAGAATAAAAAAAAAAATTAACATTAGGCTCCTATGATAATAACAAGGTATTCTGTCACTCTTAGTTTTATATTGCTAGAGAGCTAGGCATGAGAAGGTTTCCTGATTTTCTCTATTAGTCATTTAAAAATTAGATCATACCCACAGCTAAAAGGAACAAACCCCAAACTAAAGTAAATCTAAACCATCTTTTTCACAGAAAACATTCTCAGATTTAGGTCCTTATACTTAATATCACATTGAATCTCTGCATGCCTCTCTGTTTCAAATGCCTATGCATAACCATCACACCCTCAAGTCACTGAAAACCTAAGAGTGCTTGGTGTCAGATACAAACAATTAGGGAGGCTAAGTGAACATCAAATTCTATGACTTACTTGCACGCCTGGGCTCACTGGGACTGGATACATCATATTTGGTGCAAAACAAACAGGCTGAGTATAAACTGGAGTTGGCTGTTGATGACCCACCATAGATGGGCTAGGTTGTGCTTGAGGCCGAGGTGAAGTTGGGGTAGTAGAAGGCTTTGGCTACAAAAACAACAATAAATTCAATTATTTCAAGGTAATAAATGAACTATTATTGCAATTTAAAGACTGATTTTCCCAATCTGTCTAATTTTACTTGCTTTAACTATTTTCCTTTTATTAAAAACAAAAACATAGCACATCAATTTTCACATTTCAATAAAAGAAAAAACGTTTCAGTAGAAACTTAAAACTTTGCCAATTAAAAAATATTAAAAACAGTGGCAGTGATTTTTAAGAAACTGATGGAAGTGTTTTTAAAAATTAAAAATAGATATACCTTATGATCTCAGTAGAATAATAATAGCAGTCATCTCTTGGTATCTGTGGGGGATTGGTTACAGTACACTACGAAGATACCAAAGTCTTAGAATGCTCAAGTCCCCTATATAAAATTGTGAAGTATTCGCATACAACCTATGCATATCCTCCTATATACTTTACGTCATCTCTAGATTACTTATAATACCTAAAACAAAGTAAATGCTTTACTGTATCATTTTGGAATAAAGACAAGGAAAAGTCTGCATGTGTTCAGTACAGATTATCCTAACTATATTTTTGATCCATGGTTGGTTGAATCCAGGATGCAAAACCCTCAGGTGCAGAGGACATATTTATAAACCTGATAGCCTAGCTAGCCACCCATTGTCAAATTCTGGGTCAGAGAAATTCAAAGATTTGCCCAAGATCACATCTAACTGATGACAAAACAAAGACCTTTTTTTAATGTCTAAAAAGTATTCACTAATGGCCATGTAAGAAAAAGAAAGAAGGTTGTTTTAGCATACTAAAACAAAATTCAGATGACAGGTATGGAAGAAGGACTACTAATTTTTCTTTTTAGGGGACTAAATAACCTCAAAGAAAGTAATAAACCTACCTGAGAGAAGGAACGTGGGTTGAACTCCTTTGCATTAGGATTCAATGTTGATTTCCTAACTTGCCTAAAAAAAAAAAAAAGGCCAGTGAAATCTACATGGACTTTATGTTGTTCTAAAATCTTCCATACCTGACAATTTAAAAAAAACTGCTAGGCCGGGCGCGGTGGCTCAAGCCTGTAATCCCAGCACTTTGGGAGGCCGAGACGGGCGGATCACAAGGTCAGGAGATTGAGGCCATCCTGGCTAACATGGTGAAACCCCGTCTCTACTAAAAATACAAAAAACTAGCCGAGCGTGGTGGTGGCGCCTGTAGTCCCAGCTACTCGGGAGGCTGAGGCAGGAGAATGGCGTGAACCCGGGAGCCAGAGCTTGCAGTGAGCCGAGATCGCACCACTGCACTCCAACCTGGGCGACAGGGCGAGACTCCGTCTCAAGAAAAAAAAAGAAACACTGCTAAACATAGATTTAAACTGTTCTCACTAGAAGATCACTAATCCTCTTTATTGAAACATACGCACTTATATTGCCAATTCCTTAATCCCTTAAAGAATATAGTCATAAAAGAACAATTTTTTAAAAATCTGAGTAATATACAACTGCTCCTCTCAAAGGCAATCAAAAAATACTTTATTTTCTCCTTCAGAGTCCCACTCTGTTGCTCAGGCTGGAGCGCAGCAGTGCAATCTTGGCTCACTGTAACCTCTGCCTCCCCAGTTCAAGCAGTTCACCTACCTGAGTCTCCTGAGTAGCTGAGATTACAGGCGACTGCCACCACACCCAGCTAATTTTTTTTTTTTTTTTTTTTTTTTTTTCCCAGTAGAGATGGGGTTTCACCATCTTGGCCAGGCTGACCTTAAGTGATCTGCCTGAGTCAGCCTCCCAAAGTGCTGGGATTACAGGCGTGAGCCACCACGCCTGGCCAATCAACAAACACTTGAGCTGAAAAGACAGTAGCTACTTATAAAATATCCTTAAAAGCACTTCTTAACATACCAGTATTCTTTTATTATTATTACTTTTTGAGACAGAGTCTCGCTCTGTCACCCAGGCTGGAGTGCAGTGGCATGATCTCGGCTCACTGCAGCCTCCACCTTCCGGGTTCAAGCAATTCTCCTGCCTCAGCCTCCTGAGTAGCTGGGATTATAGGCACCTACCACCATGACTGGCTAATTTTTGTATTTTTAGTAGAGACAGGGTTTCACCATGTTGGCCAGGCTGGTCTTCAACTCCTAACCTCAAGTAATCTACCTGCTTCGGCCTCCCAGAGTGCTGGGATTATAGGTGTGAGCCACCAGTCAACATACCAATATTCTAGCATGAAGTAATTTTTATGTGAGAAGATATTATCTACATAACATACCTGCAGAAAATCATGGCTCTAAAAAAAATTTGCCTCAAATCAAGAATAAGCAGTCCCCAATTTATCAATAAGCTACATTCCAAAACTTTAGCTTTAACTGGATTGTTTGGTACCCAGAACACCTAAGTCAATGGTAGTTAAGTTCTGAGGTTAGCCCCTGAAAGTCCATTTAACAAATATATGGAATGTGCAGAATTAAGTCTATTTTAACAAATCTAAACATTAACTAAAACACTGTTTCTGATGAAAAATATTTTGAATTCCAAGTAGAAGCATCGCATGCTTCTCTCCTTGACAGTGGCAGTTTTTCATCCTAGCAGCACAGTGAGGGTGACTAATGAGTGGAATCCAGTAAAGATAGGTCTCCTGAACTGATAATTTTTCAACTCCTGTTCATTTACAGAAAAACTTTTCTTAATTTATGCCTTGTTTTTCTAGCCCTGGGGTGCAAAAAAGGGGAAGAACAAGAGTAGCACAGGGTGCAATAACCTAATTTACTTAAGATGTCATTTGTTTGGACTAGCTGTTTGTAAACTAAGGGCAATGTATGAAGCAGTCTAAAAGTCCAGATGGATTCTTCACAGTTGGAAGGACCTAAATGCCTTTAAAAAAAAAAAAAAAAGTTAACTGAGTAACAGGATGGTCTAAGTTCCAGGTTTACTCACTCAGCTGTGTCTTTCTTCTCTTCCTTATCATCTTTCTCTTGTTTACATGCTGGACTGGAAGTCTGAACCCCTTGGGAAGTGACCTCAGGTCCCCTCTTGTGCTCCGTGTTACTAAGTATTGAAGGGGAAATGCTGGGGCTATTCGGCTTGCTGCTGCCACTGGTACAGTTGCTGCTGCTATTTTCAGTGAAAGAATCCTTAGCACTTGGTTCAATTTTGTCTTTGATCAAATCTCTTGATTTTTCTGCCTCTCTATTTTTGTTTAGTAGTTGATCCATAGATTCAGAAGTAGAACTTGGCTGTAACTAAATAAAGGAAACAATTATACTTAAATATCTTAAATAACTTTAGTAATCCATTTTTGCCATGAGCACAAGCAAAGTAATATTAACTATATGCATGAAATGTTTTGAATAAGGCTTTTTTCATACTTTAAGAGTAATGCTTTTACTATAAAGTAACAATAACAGAATACCTATATAGCACAACCACAGTTACCAAAGCACTCAAATGTCTTAGCCTCTAAAGTTCAATATTTACTGAATGCCTACCACATGTCAGAAATTGTGCTTGCTGGGTGAGAAAAATATGAAAAAATTTCTATCCTCCTATACTTGTCATCTAAATAAGATCAGACACTTCACAACAAAATGAGTAAATGCTAAGAGATTCTATAGAAAAAACAACCTATAAAAAAGAAAGGTTTCTTAATGGAAGTTTCAGCTAGTCTAAGGTGTGAAAGAAGTTTAGGAGAGGTGTTTGGGATGGAGAATAGTCTAAGTAAAAGGAGGAATATGTTTAAAAATCCAAAGAAAAGAGAGAAGATGGCTCTATCACATAAAAGAATAGCACCAATGGGGGCTGGGCGCAGTGGCTCATGCCTGTAATCCCAGCACTTTGGGAGGCTGAGGCAGGCAGATCACGAGGTCAGGAGATCAAGACCATCCTGGCTAACACGGTGAAACCCCGTCTCTACTAAAAATACAAAAATTAGCCGGGCATGGCGGCGGACGCCTGTAGTCCCAGCTATTCGGGAGGCTGAGGTAGGAGAATGGTGTGAGCATGGGAGGCAGAGCTTGCAGTGAGCCGAGATCACGCCACTGCACTCCAGACTGGGTGACAGAACGAGACTCCGTCTCGGAAAAAAAAAAAAAAAGTAAAAGGATAGCACCAATGACCCAGGCACAGTGGCTCATCACTGTAATTCCAGCACTTTGGGAGGCTGAGGCAAGCAGACTGCTTGAGCTCAGGAGTTCAAGACCAGCCTGAGCAACATAGTGATACCCTGTTCTCATTAAAAAATAATAATGATAATAAAATAAAATAAATAACAAAAATAAAGAAGTAAAGCAAAGCACCAATGGCTGGACCAAGGGTGGGACACACATGTACAAGTGAGTCAGAAAATGATAGACTTGCCAAAAGGAATATGACAATAAAGGAACTTAAAAGCTATGTTCAGGGCTGTGTGCAGTGGCTAACACCTATAATCCTAGCGTTTTGGGAAGCCACGGTAGGTGGAAACACTTGAGGTCAGGAGTTTCAGACCAGCCTGGCCAACATGGTGAAACTCTGTCTCTACTAAAGATAAAAAAAAAATTAGCCAGGCATGGTGGCGCACACGTGTAAATCCCAGCTACTTGGCTGACGTATGAGAATCGCTTGAACCCAGGAGGCGGAGGTTGCAGTGAGCCAAGATCACACCACTGCACTCCAGCCTGGGTGACAGAGCAAGACTCCATCTAAAAATTAAAAAAAAAAAAAAAAAAAAATTAAAATTAAAAAGCTATGTTTTAGGACTTTGGCTTTTAATTCTCAAGGCAAATGGGAAGTCAATGAGGAATTTTAAGTAGGGTAGAGTACTGGGCAGATTTATAGTTCAGAAAGATTAACACAGCAGCTTTGTGCGAAATGAACTGGAGGGAAGCAAATTAGGATGTGGAGGTACCATCATGGAGGCTGGACTAAGAACTGGGCCTAGTGGGCTTGGAAGGTCATAAGTAGATGAATTCAGAATGAGACCTGACTGTACATATTGGTCAGTTAGACATTCTAAACCCCTAAGTAAAAAAAGAGACGGCAGGGGAGAGGAGACAGAGCGTGGTGGCCAAACAGAACCCTCCAGTGATCATCCCCCACAAGGAGCACCAAATTGAACAACTATCCACACAAGAAAGCACCTTCATAAGAACCAAAAATTAGGTAAGCGATCACAGTACCTGGTTTTGACATCCTATCAAGGAAAAAGGCACCGAGGAAGATAAGGAAGATGGTCTTGAACTGCCCCCGCAACACCCCTGCCATTCCCCCAAAATGCAGTGTGGGGTGGAGAAAGAATCTGTGTGCTCGCGGGACAGAGAGAGAAATGACTGGGATTTTGCATTGAAACTCAGTGCTGCCCTGTCATAGTGGAAAGCAGCACAGGACAGAATTCAGCCAGCACCCACAGAGGGAGTATTTAGACCAGCCCTAGTCAGAGGGGAATTGTCCATCCCAGTGATGAGAATCTGAATTTCGGGCTGGGCGCTGTGGCCTGTAATCCCAGCACTTTGGAAAGCCGAGGCGGACGGATCACCTGAGGTCAGGAGTTTGAGACCAGCTTGACCAACATGGAGAAACCTCATCTCTACTAAAAAACAAAAAAATTAGCCCGGGGTGGTAGCACATGCCTATAATCCCAGCTACTCGGAAGGCTGAGGTAGGAGAATTGTTTGAACCCAGGAGGTGGAGGCTGTGGTGAGCTGAGATCGCGTCATTGCACTCCAGCCTGGGCAGTAAGAGCGAAACTCTGCCAAAAAAAACAAAGAATCTGAATTTTGGTAAGCCCCACCACTATGAGTAAAGGGCTCTGGGGTCTTAAATAAACTTGAAAGGACCGCTATTCCTGGACAAGTCATGGTACTGTGCTGGGCTCAAAGCCAGTGGACTTGGGGTACATGTGACCCACTGAGACACCAGCTAGGGTGGCCAAGGGAGTGCTTGTGCCAGCCCTCCCCCAACTCCAGGTACCAGAGCTCACAGTTCTTAGCTCTGAGAGGAGAGGGAAGTGTAGGGAGGACTTTGTCTAGAAATGTGGATACTAGTTCAGCCACAGTAAAATAAAGCACCAAGCATAGTTCTGAAGCCTCGACTCTAGGCCATAGCTCCCAGATGACATTTCTAGACATATCCTGGGCCACAAGGGAACCCATTGCCTTGAAGGAAGATACCTAGTCCCGGTAGGATTCACCACCAGCTGACTAAAGAGCCCTTGTGCCTTGAATAAAAAACAAGGTGCCATGTCATATTGTGCCAGCTTCAGATATGACCCAGCACATTCCCAGCTGTGGTGGCCATGGGGAGACACACCTGCTTGAGGTGAGAGAAGAGTAAAAAGGACTTTATCTTGCAAGTGGGTGCCCACTCAGCCCCAGTAAAATAAAGCAGATTCCTAAAGCTCCCGATCCCAGGCCCTGGCTCCTGGGCGGCATTTCTAGATGCACCCTGGGCCAGAAGGGAACCTGCTGCACTGAAAGTAAAGACCCAGTCCTTGCAGGATTCTTCACCTGCTGACTAAAGCACCCTTGGGCCTTGAATTAACAACAGCAGTGGCCAGAAAATAGCTGCCACAGGCCTTGGGAGAGACCCAGTACAGTTCCAGTGATGGTGGCCAAAGCAGTGCTTGTGTCATCCTTCCCCCAACTCCAGGCAGCTCAGCACAAAGAGAGACTCCATTTGTTTGGAGAAATGTAAGGGAAGAGGACAAGAGACTGCCTGGTAATACAGGGAATTCTCCCAGATCTTCCCCAAGACTACCAAGGTGATACCTCTACAGAGTCACAGTATTACTAGGCCTGGGGTGCCCTCTAATGCATGTATGGCTGCAGTGAACAAAGACTTAGATGACAACACTTAATTCCCTTTGAATATTTGAAAAACCTTCTCAAGAAGAATGGGGGCCAGACACAGTGGCTCACGCCTGTAATCCCAGCACTTTGGGAGGCCGAGGTGGGCAGATCATGAGGTTAGGAGTTCGAGACCAGCCTAACCAACATGGTGAAACTCTGTCTCTACTAAAAATACAAAAATTAGCCAGGCGTGGTGGCACGTGACTGTAACCCCAGCTTCTAAGGAGGCTGAGGCAGAAGAATCGCTTGAACCCAGGAGGCGGATGTTGCGGTGAGCAATGATTGTGCTCTGCACGCCAGCCTGGGCGACAGAGTGAGACACTGTCTCAAAAAAAGAAAAAAAAATGGGTACAAACAAAACCAGACTACAAAGAATAGAATACCCAACTCTTCAATGACCAGACACTGATGAACATCCACAAGCAACAAGGCCATTCAAGAAAACATGACCCCACCAAATGAACTAAAAATAAAGGGCACCAGTGACCAATTCCCAAGTGGTAAGAAATATGTCAACTTTCTGACAGAATTCAAACTGGATGCTTTAAGAAAGTTCAACAAAATCCAAGATAATACAGAGAACAAATTCAGAATCCTGTAAATTTTAAAAACAGACTGCAATAGTTATTAATAAAAAGAATCAACCAGAAATCCCAAAGTGGAAAAATTCAATTGACAAACTGAAAAATGCATCAGAGTCTCTCAATAGCAGAAATGTATCAAGCAGAAGAAAACATTAGTGAGCTTGAATTCAGGCTATCTGAAAATAAACCACCAAGCTGGGCGTGATGACTCACGCTTATAATCCTAGCACTTTGGGAGGCCAAGGCAGGAGGATCACCCTAAGGTCAGGAGTTCAAGACCAGCCTGGCAAACATGGCAAAACCCCGTCTCTACTAAAAATACAAAAAGTAGCTGGGCATGGTAGCACATGCCTGTAATCCCAGCTACTCAGGAGGCTGAGGCAGGAGAATTGCTTGAACCTGGGAGTCGGAGGTTGTAGTGAGCCAAGATGGCACTGCTGAGATGGCACCACTATACTCCAGCCTGGTGACAGAGCATGACTGTCTCAAAAAAAAAAAAAGAAGTTCTTCAATCTGAAAGAAAAGGATGTTAACAAGCAATAAGAAATCACCCGAAGGTGCAAAAACTGACTGGTAACAATAAGTACACAGAAAAATACAGAATATTCTAACACTGTAATTGTATATAAACTACTATTCATATTTTAAGCAGGAAGAATAAAAGATGAACCTTTCAAAAATAAGAACTACAATTTTTTTTTTCTGAGATGGAGTCTCGCTCTGTCGCCCGGGCTGGAGGGAAGTGGTGCAATATCGGCTCACTGCAACCTCTGCCTCCCGGGTTCAAGCAATTCTCCTGCCTCAGCCTCCTGAGTAGCTAGGATTACAGGTGCA